GGTTCTTTTTCTCAGCACTAATGACATCTTGGGCCAGATGTTTCTTTGCTGTGAAGGCTGTCCTGTAAGATTGTAAAATGTTTAGTTGCATCCCCGGCCTCTATTGCCCATGTTTGAGAATCACTGTTCTAGATTGATACCAATACAGCAATTTGTTAACAGCAGTTATACTGTGGTATCACTAGAAATGTCAAAGTCTAGGTGCAGTGGCTCATGCCTGTAATCCCAGCACTTTGGGAGGCTGAGGTGGGAGGATCACTTGAGCCCAGGAGTTTGAGGCTGCCGTGACCTATGATGGCACCACTGCACTTCAGCTTGGGAGACAGAGCAAGATCTCATCTCTCTTTTTTTTTTTTTTTAAAAGGAAAAAAAGGAAAATTTTGAAGTGATTTCTAACTTGTCTTCATTTAAATAGCCTTCTCAGGCATTAGCAGACATTTGCATATTTGGGGTTGCCTTATATTTCATTGTCTTTCCTATTAACTGCTGGGATGAAAATATATATGCTAAATATAAAAATATATATTAAATATACACATACATTATATGGATATACACATGTAATATTCACGATAGTCTCATGTTTCGGTGAATTCATAGCAGCTTGGCAGATTGGTCTGAATTCTGACAGCACAGACTGCAGTGTCTTAATTTGCAGATCTCTCCTCTGATAATAATCATACCTGATGGCTTTTTTTCCCCATATTAATCTAGGACATGTCACTTGACAGGAAGTTAAATGCCTCTATTGAGAAGGTACGTGGTCCATTTTCTTTCTTACCATCGCCCAAGAATATCTCACTTCTTAGGGCTAAAGGGATGAAAATGATAGGGTTAAGTTTAGCGATAGCTTAAATGTTCATTCTGTAGTAGTTGTTTTTCTTATAACTTATTGGGCTCTAGTGGGAATCCTGGAGAATGGAACCTACTCCTCTTTCCTCTGAGTCCCTCTCAGTATTCTGGCTTTCGGACCACAGAGGTGCAAAGTGCATGAGCAACAAGTTGTTGGTGTGCAGGCCTGTGTGATTTCCTGGACTTTGACTTGCTAGCCTGTTAGGCTCATTTACAATTTCACAAAATTTGAATTTTATATATCAGTACTGGCATCTGTTTGCTTTCTTATCTCTTGTTTGCTGTATACGCTTCAGTCTCCAGATAAGTTGGGTGTCTTGAAGTGGATATGGGAGACCTGGGTCTGACTTCTGGTTCTGCTACTTAAACTAGTATATGTCCCTTCTCAGATTTAGTTTCATTGTCTATACAATGTGACTTATAACACTTTTTCCTTTGGGACTATTTCTGTGATTAAACATGACAGCTTATATATAAATGAAAGTTGTAAACACAGTGCTTGGCACAGAGTGGGTAACCAATCAACATTATTTAAATGAGTAAGAAAAGTAAGTGATTTGAGCAACAAAAAACAATACTATTACCTTATAACTCATAGAATAAAATGAGTATCAACGAGTCCATACTGATGTAAATAAATAATTGAACAAACAAGTAAATGGGGGAAAAGAGATAATTATTTCTTAAAGAGGAATTCTGTAATAAATGTAACACATGTTGAAGGAATGAGAAAAATAGAAAAACCATTACAGTAATGGCTGTCGCAGGCAAGAAATACCAATGTTTGCTAGAATTAGCAGGCAAAAGTTTGAGGAAAAACAGATGTTTGTATAGCCTCAAAGTATTGCCCCTAAAATGGATATTAATTACAAAGGGAAAATAATAACTTTATAGTAGAAAAAACTGGCAGATACCACCTTAGCCAGGTGATCAAGGTTGACATCACTGGTAATAAGACATATTAACATTATGTACCCCTGATATAATAAATCCAGAAGGACATACTCGCTTCTGTAGTATTCTGGTCAAAAAATGCGTAACTTCAATCAAATCATGAGAACATTACAGACAAATACAAATTGAGGGACATTCTACAAAATACACGATGGATACTCTTCAAAAAAGTGTGAAGGTCGTGAAAGACAGGGAAATACTGAGGAACTGTCAGTGGTCTCAAGAAACCAAAGAGACACAACAACTAAGTAAGTGCAATGTGGGATCCTAAAATGAATCCTGGAATAGAACAAGGACATCAGTTTATTTGGAGAAATCCAAATAAACTCTGTAGTTTAGTTAATTATACGGTACCAGTGATGACTTCTTAGTTTTGATAACTCTATTTTGGTTATACAAGAAGTTAACACTGGGAAAGCTCAGGGAAGGGGATATGGGAATTCTCCATTTTTTAAACTTTTCTATTAAGCCTGAAGTTTCAAAATAGGAAAAAAAAAAAAAAAAAAAAAAAAGAGTAAGATAACTGTGATTATATTGTTGTCTTTTTATATGTTTACAAAGTGCCAAATTCACTTGATGCTCTTTCTACCACTATCCTGCTGATGTGGTTTGGCTGTGTGTCCCCACCCAAATTTCATGTGGAACTGTAATTCCCAGTGTTGGGGGAGGGACCAGGTGGGAGATGATTGGATCATGGGGGCGGATTTCCCCCTTGCTGTTCTCAGATAGTGAGTTCTCACGAGATCTGGTTGTTTAAAAGTGTGTAGCACTTCCCCATTCACTCTCTCGCTGTCTTGTTGCCACGTGAAGATGTGCTTGCTTCCCTTTCATCTTCTGCCATGATTTTAAGTTTCCTGAGGCCTCCCCAGCCATCCTCCTTTACAGCCTGTGGAACTAGAAGTCAATTAAACCTCTTTCATTTTAAACTACCCAGTCTCAGGTAGTTCATCATAGCCATGTAAAAATGGAAGAATACGGAAAATTGGTACCAGAGAAGTGGGACATTGCTATAAAGATACCTACAAATGTGGAAGCAACTTTGAAACTGGGTAATGGGCAGAAGTTGCAACAGTTTGGAGGGATCAGAAGAAGTCAGGAATATGAGGGAATATTTGGAAACTCCTAGAGACTTGAACAGTTTTGACCAAAATGCTGATAGTGATATGGACAATGAAGTCCTGGCTGAGGTGGTCTCAGATGGAGATGAGGAACTTATCAGGAACTGGAGCAAAGATCACTCTTGCTGTGCTTTAGCAAAGAGACTGGTGGCATTGTGCCCCTGCTTTAGGGATCTGTGTAACTTTGAACTTGGGAGAGATGACTTAGGGTATCTGGCAGAAGAAATTTCTAAGCAGCAAAGTGTTCAAGAGATGGCCTGGCTGCTTCTAAAAGCCTATGCTCATTTGCATAAGGAAAGAGAACTTATATTTAAAAGCAAAGCAGAGCACAAAAGTTTGAAAATTTGCAGCCTGGCCATGTGGTAGAAAAGAAAAACCCATTTTCTGAGGAGAAATTCAAGCTAGCTGCAGAAGTTTGCACAAGAGGAGCTGAATATTAATAGCCAAAACAATGGAGAAAATGCCTCCAGGGCACTTCAGAGACCTTCGTGGCAGCATCCCCCTGCCACACAGGCTCAGAGGCCTAGGAGGGAAAAATGGTTTCGTGGGCTAGGCCCTGGGCCCAGCTGCTCTGTGTAGCCTTAGGACATGGCACCCTACTTCCCAGCTGCCCAGTTCCAGCTGTGGCTAAAAGGGGCCAAGGTACAGCTCGAACCATTGCTTCAGAGGGTGCAAGCCCCAAGCCTTGGCAGCTTCCACGTGCTATTGGGCTTATGGGTGTGCAGAAGGCAAGAGTTGAGGTTTGGGAGCTTCTGCCTCAATTTCAGAGGATGTATGGAAATGCCTTGATGTCCAGGCAAAAGTCTGCTACAGGGGTGAAGCCCTCATGGAGAGCCTCTATAGGGCAGTGCAGAGGGGCAATGTGGGGTTGGAGCCCCTACACAGTCCCCACTGGGGCACCGCCTAGTGGAGCTGTAAAAAGAGGGCCACCATCCTCCAGACCCCAGAATGGTAGATCCACTGACAGCTTACACTGTGTACCTGGATATGCTTAGGCACTCAACACTAGCCTGTGAAAGCAACCATGGGGACTGTTCTCTGCAGAGCCACAGGGGCAGAGCTGCCTAAGGCCTTGGGAGCCCATTCCTTGCATCAGCGTGGCCTGGATATGAGACATGGAGTCAAAGATTGTTTTGGAGCTTTAAGATTCAATGAGTGCCCTGCTGGGTTTTGGACTTGCATGGGGCCTTTAGCTCCTTTGTTTGGACCAGTTTCTCCCACTTGGAATGGGAGCATTTACCCAATGCCTGTACCTCCATTGTATCTTGGAAGTAACTAACTTGTTTTTTATTCTGCAGGCTCATAGGTGGAAGGAACTTGCCTTGTCTCAGATCAGACTTTGGAGTTGGACTTTTGAGTTAATGCTGGAATGAGTTAAGACTTTGGGGGACTGTTGGGAAGGCATGATTGTGTTTTGAAATGTGAGAAGGAAATGAAACTTGGAAGAGGCCAGGGTGGAATGATATGGTTTGGCTTTGTGTCTCCACCCAAATCTTATGTTGAATTATAATTCCCATTGTTGGGGGAGGGACCTGGTGGAAGGTGATTGGATCATGGGGGCAGATTTCCCCTTGCTCTTGAGCTGTTCTCATGATACGGAGTGAGTTCTCACAAGATCTTGTCGTTTAAAAGTGTGTAGCATTTCCCCCTTCACTCTCTTGCTCTCTTGTCACCATGTGAAGATGTGCTTGTTTCCCCTTCACCTTCTGCTGTGATTGTAAGTTTCTTGAGGCCTCTCAGCCATGCCTCCTATACAGCCTGTGAAACTGTGAGTCAAACCTCTTTTCTTTATAATCTACCCAGTCTCAGGTAGTTATTTATAGCAATGTGAGAATGGACTAATATACCTGCCACCCTTTTTGCTGGGACCATGCCTCAGAGTTTACAAATCTGCTCCCCATGTACCATCTCCTGGAACCCTCAACACTGCTGTGAGACATTCCCACTTTGAGCTGATGAGATGGGGCTCAGAGAGGTAAGGGGCTTGCCTGAGGTCACCCAGCTGCTCTTTCCTTTCTCCTGAACAGTTACATCAGAAGCCAGTTGGTGACAGAAAAACTCGGTCTGCTCAACAAGGATCACACACAAGCCGGTGATACTTTATTATATAAGAGAGTTGTCAAAAGGACAGATTCATTCCTGTTTCAGAATCCCCACATTCCAGCGATCTATCTGCTGACACAGTTAACATAAACTATTTGCTGATATTTACTGAGTGCTTGCAATATATCAGAGTCATTAAATAAGATGCAACTTCTACTGTGAAGACTGGAATCTTCATTAAGACACAGACTTAGAAAAGGCCCAGTTTCAAAGATTCTGACTTGCACAGACTGAGCACTCCCATTTCCAGAAGTTCGAATACCTCCTTTCTTATCTAAATGAGAGAAAAGGAAAAAAAAAAAAAAAAAAAGATTAAGATCAAGCAAAAATGGTCTTGGTGAATAAATTCAACCATCAGGACTCCCTGGTATTTACCCAACTGTTATGGCCAGAATCAGAGAGGGCAAAAGTCCTAACACACATTTGATTCCGAGTTGAAATTTTAAAAATTATTATTATTATTTTGAGACAGAGTCCCATTCTGTTGCCCATGCTGGAGTGCAGTGGCGTGATCTTGGCTAACTGCTATCTCTGCCTCCCGGGTTCAAGTGATTCTCATGCTTCAGCCTTCTGAGGAGCTTGGATTAGAAGCATGTGCCACAATACCTAGCTAATTTTTGTATTTTTAGTAGAGACAGGGTTTTGCCATATTGGCCAGTCTGGTCTTGAGCTCTTGGCCTCAAGTGATCTGCCTGCCTTGGCCTCCCAAAGTGCTGGGATTACTGGTGTGAGTCACTGCGCCTGGCCTATTATTATTATGGTTTTGTAGAGACAGGGTCTTGCTTTGTTGCCCAGGCTGGTCTTGAACTCCTGGCTTCAAGTAATCCTCCCACCTCAGCCTCCCAAAGGGCTAGGATTACAGGTGTGTGCCGCCATGCCTGGCAGAATTAAAATATTTATATAAATGAAAGAAGAGGTACTATATAAATGAAGGAAGAGGTACTATATAAAACATTAGGTTCGTTAAAGTGCAGCCATTCAAAATAAAATGCTATATAAAGGTGTTTCAAGGACTCCACAGTGTGCTTTCTGTAAACAAGATTATATATGATAGTTCAGTATAGGATTTTATTGCCTTAGGATAACTGCTAAGAATGACAGCAACAGAATAAAAATAACTATGGGTGACAAGATGTTTTTGGATATTTCTCATTATTAGAATTAGAAACTTAGTAGATTAGTCAGATTTAATATCATAACTGAAATAATCAACTGTGGCCTCATGCCTGATATCAAAGTTGTTAAATCAGTTTTAAGAAACCAGTCAATTCAGGGGACAAAATGCACAACTGTGTATGTGTGTGTGCGCGTGTGTGTGTGTGTTTGTGTAACTGAGCAAACTGTTTTTTAACCTGAACTGATGTCTGAAATAACTCACTGATGAATTATAATCAGGTTTGGTCAACTGGAGATATAGTTTTATGTGACAAATTAATTCATTCAGCATGTTTGGAAGAGCATTTCCAAGCCTCTTTGATGGTTACTGCCATGATTTGTTCTTGCTTGGTGACTGGTAACCATTTTTTTTTTTCTAACAGCTACTGTGAAGCATCAGGCTAGACTGAAAAATTAGCCCCATGACAGCATGGTAGGTGGCAAGGTCAATTTTTCACATGATGATGATAATGGATTGCTTTTAAAAATATATAATGAGCTAATACTGTGCCCATAAAGGCATTCAGTCATTCAATTGTAATCCACTGAGACATCAAAAAATTTCCCCACCCCATGAAATCAAAATATCTTTCTAAATTAAGTAAGTGGGTTATTGGGGATGTGGAGATGCTGGCAAAGAGGCAAGTTTGTACCCCTGCTCCCCCAACCCGAGTCAAAAGTGCACATATAAGAATGAAAGACAAAGACGAGTGTGTCTACAAAGAAAGGCACAGGAAAAGTACAGGCCCTTCAGATCTTCTTGTTTCTCAAAATGGTCCCTAGTGAGGAGAGGCCATTGGTCATTTAAGGAGCAACAGAGCCGATTCCCATGAAACACATGGAAAGGATACAGTTATGTGTAAGGGGAGGAGGTGGCCTCTATAATTATAGTTAGCTCAGAGTTAGAAAAGATAGAAATCATTTCAAAATCTAAAATGTGCTGGCTCCTTATGTCAAAGACTTTATTACTGTGTTTGAACTCAAGTTCAAATAGAGAAAAAATGATTAAAAGCAACTGCTGGTTACGTGGTACCTCGGGAATGTCCATCATTCTCCTCAACTTCTGATCTCGCCAGTTCCAGTCAAAAACCAGAAATTTTAAGGGGTTCAAATTAAAGCCACCTGAAAGAGACAGGGAGAGAGTTGCTGCAGTAAAGACCTCATGACATAAGCTTATTAAAATGATTTTTTATTCTCCGGGTTACTTTTTGTCCCATATGTTGTCCTCTCCCCCAGTAACTCATCTCTGCACGTTAAGTGCTGCCCTTCCCTGATGGAAACAAATGCAGCACTCTGAGACGTGCTCTTCTTATCAACTCATCACTCCTTCTGAGGAAAGCAGACAAGCTGCTCTTGCTAAGCTCCTCAAATGCTCACATCTTGGCCAAGCCTCCATTTCATGAAGACCCAGAGGCTGTAGTCTCATTCCTGACAGGCATTTGCTAAGCTAAATCCTGCAGTTTTGGGTAGTTGCCTTTCAGAGGAGTTGAGTCCATGGAGTCTGCATGGCTCTGAGGAGGTGAGTGGGGAGAAAGATGAGGACAGGGCTGGGTGGTTCATTTTAGGCAGAAAAGGAAGTTGAGATGAATAGGCTCTATTCAGCTATCCTTTGACAAGGTTGGTAAATCACTTAATTACTCCATTCGCTGTTTTCCTGTCTGTCTACAAGACAATTATGGACTGTGAGGGCTGAAGGGGACCTCAGGGATTGTCTGGTCCTCAGATGTCTCACAGTTGGGCATACAGTCAGTTCTTGCCTCTGCTCCAAGCTGTTCCACGTCTCTCGTGTTAACAGTACCTGCAGCCTTCCTCTCCCACGGCACTTCCCCTCAGCTTTTCCTCATGGTATTTAAATATTTTCCTCTTTGCCCCTAATAGTTGTTCATGCTGTTTATAAATCAAATGCCTGTTATTAAAAACATTCTGCAAAATTAAAATAAAAATGGTGAACTGGAAAAGACAATGAGTTGATCATCAGTCTTCCCTTAATATAACTGCTGGCAGGAAAGCAATAGGTACAGCCTCTCTGGAATGAAACTGAGCATAATATAACAGCTTCAGAATGCTTTTATTTGATCTCGAATTCCTGACCTCAAGTGATCTGCCCATCTCAGCATCCCAAAGTGCCAGGATTATAGGTGTGAGCCACGGTGCCTGGCCAAAATGCTTTTATTTGATAAAATAAATTTCCTTCTATGACCAATCCCAGTGAAGCATCAGAAACATAAACATAGCTACTTGCAAAAATGATCATTGCCATATTATTTATAGTAGCAAAAATTTAGAAACAACCCAAAGTCTACCATAATGGAATTGCAAAAAAATAAATTTACAATAGAGTATTGTAAATAGCGTAGCTATACAAATGAAAAATTAAACGTGCTTCATGACAAGGAAAGTAAGTCCTCATGAGATATAGCAAGTGAAAAAGGTAGGTTATAAAGTTATGAAATGCAGTATAATCAATCTCTGCTGTATAAAAATAAACATACAAATGTATAGAAAAAAGACTGAAAGGAAATATATTCATTATTAACAAGAGATTGCCTCTAAAGTGACTTGTTTTCTTTTCTGTACATTTTTGCATTTTCCAAAGGCTCTTACAGTCAGAAAATCCCCTTCATTACTAAATTAAAACAATACAATTGTCTGTAATTGTATACATACCAATGTCATGGGATATTGTTCAATGTCTGAAAACTCTCCTTATATATCAAACATATAAACATCTTATTAAGTCATAAACAGCTACATATGTGCTACTGGTGTCACTCTGTTAGATTTCCCATTTTTAGGGTGCTGGGAGTATTCTCTTTAAACACTTTGTATGTAGCCAAAGACCTGTCGTTAATGAATATTAAACCATTCATCCAATTAGAATCAGAAGTAAAAATTATTTTCATTAATATTGTAAAAAAAAAAAATCGCCCTTTAAATGATTTTTCCACCTGAAATAAGCCTGCATATTAAGGTCTCACAAGTCTGTAGAGATCTGATTTCAATAGTCTGGATAGCTTTGCTTTTTCTCTTCCTCTCTTTCTTTTAAATACAGAGAAGAGTAATCCTGTTGCCTGGGGTGGGGGTTCGGAAGTCTGGTGACACACAAAAAAATCTGGATGCCAGGAGGGACTGGTGGTGAATCTTTAGCTAAAAGCTGTTAGGGAGACAGGAACCAACCTGAGAGTCCATCCTTAGCTTCTCCTGATACCCAGCCAATCACTCCCAAATCTGTGTCTCATAGAAGGCCTTGGTGCCTCTTAACTTTCAAATGCCATAGGATGTCCACAAGACAAAAATCCAAACTCCTCGGCTTACTGTTCAAGGGCTTTCCTCAAATTTCTTTCCAATTGCATCAACTGCTACTATAGCCCACAAAGTCTCCAAGCAAGAAAGTTAGTCTCTTTAATAAATAACTAATATTTGCTAAGTGTTTAGGGTGTGACAGTGCGCTGAGCTCTTTATTGGCATTTTGTTTTTATAACAAACCTTAAAGTAGCTACTATTACAATCCCGGTCGTTCGTACAAAGAAACAGGCTGAGAAGGGTGAAGTAACTTGCCAAGGTCACAGAGCTGGTAAGTTGCTAGACCTAAGATTTGAATCTGGAGGTCTGAGTCCATCACAGGGGCTCTTAACTGCAACGCTGTTTTGCCTCCTCCTAATTCCTTGTGATATACCATGTGTATGTGCCTGCTTTCTGAGAATCTCACTGGGCTGTTCTCCCATTCCTGGATGCTTCCCCTGACCCTCCCGGCCTATTTCAATCCTCCCCACACTTCAAAGATCAGTTATAGACCCTGCCTTGCAGATTCAGGCCAGCATAACTATCTCTTTCTCATTTCAACTCCTGTACCACTTAGAAGTGCTCATTTGGCTCTTGGCATTTACTGCCTCATGCTATCGATCTCAGCCTATGTACATTTGCTTCTTCAGCTGGATCAGGAACTCCCTGAGGAGAAAAGGCTCTAGAACCAGGAAAGCTGGGAGTGACAGACCTTGGGGAGGGCGACATAACCCTCTGAGCTTCAGTTCTCTCTCATAAGAAATAAAATGGCTGGCCTGTAAGGATGCTGTGAGTGTTAATGCGATAGCATATGTAAGGGTGTCAAGCGTAGCACTGCGTACAAGTAGGAACTCAAAAGTGTTGTTTCCCTTCCTTGTCAGGGGCAGCCAAATTTGTTACTTGTTGGTATTTGTACAAAACTCTGCATATAGTCGGTTCAACTAACCCTGGATGATTTTCATCTGGAGAGAAACAATAGTAGTTTTAGCTTTTGGTTGCTCCCTGGCAAATGACCATCTCTATAATGAGTTACTACACTGATGAGCACATTACTTTTAGGTATATAAAATAATCTGAGAATAGCTCCAGACAGTTATTTAAAAAAAACCTCTATGAGATAATACAGAAGTAATTTGGAAATAAGTATTGAAAAGAAATCATTGAATCTGCCTGGTAGGTAGAAGAGGTAATAAGATAATTGGCAGGTTAGCAGGTTCTCAGGCTACTGGCTTTGAGAAAGTCGGCAAATTATAAAAACCCACCAGTGGATGTTGTCTAGAATACTTTCTGTAAAGAACTCAAAGAGAAACACATTTGGGAAGAACAATTATCGAATGCCTGCATTACATTCACGGAAACTACGTTTTGTTTTAGTATGTTTTATATACCAGCCCTGAAAATGGGAGTCTCCCCGAGACTCCGTGGAGTGAGCGGGAATGCTCAACTCAGGCAGTGGCCGCGCACTGGTGGAATGAAGGCCATGTGACCCACTAACCTGCTTGTAGCAGCTGGAATTGGACTCTGTTTAGGTGGGCACATGTACTTCAGTTTGCCACAGCCCTTGTCATTCCCTAATGTGCTATACTTGCTGGTTGGCTTCAGAGATTAAAGGCTGAGTTTCCACTTCCTGAATTAACACAGAGGTCTGGTTTCTGTATATCCTGAATTTAGTTTCTGAGACTCACATGTGGGTAAGGCAAACTCCTAGCCCTGGGCAAGAGTTATCACTGCCCTCTTGTCATACCTTGTTTAACAAGTTCTTTAATTCTCCCTGGAGTTCCTACACCCAGGTGCACCACACGCTTCTCCAGCAACTTTACCTGCTCCTGGACCTGTTCCAAGATGAAAGAGAAGAAAAGGAAGTCATTAAGAAAGTGCAATTTGACACCAATTTCTTAACTTTATCTCAAAGTTAAATCTTCAAGGAATCAAAGGGTCAAGCCTCAGGGACGGAGCATGGCAGAAGCAACTGCTGTAGCGGGGAGGTAGGTATGCGGAGGCATAGAATTTAAAAAACTAGAAAAGTTGTTAAATGTTACATAAGGAAGGAACTCAATAAAATACTTGCTAAGGAGATTAGGAGAAGAGGTTGAAAGGAAAAAGCTGAGGTCTGGGGGAGGCCTTTAGGGATTACAGGCCCTTGCTTACCTTTATGTGCTTTGCAAATAATTTTATAACTTTGCTGTCTCCTCTGAATGCTGTCATCGACCTGATGAAAAGAAGTAGGTGAATGCTTAAGAAAACCAACTCATTCTAGGCCACGATGACTACTTAAGTATTATGTCTTGCTTTATTCAAAGGATGTGTGCATATGTGTGTATATATGCACATACGTACACACAAATTCTGAGATTTGCAGGTTAGCCAGTATTTGCAATGAGAGTGGGGTAGCCTTTTATTCAGGTACTTATCTGTGTTGGCTTCACACTGCCATACACAAGGTCAACCTTACTTAGGTTCCCTTGATTACTGAAACACATGATCTGCCTTTCACTTGTAATACAGAATTCCAGTATTTCAGGTCCCTGGCAGAAAATTCATCTTCCAACTATGCAGTGCAGTTCTCATACAAAATTTGGTTGCAAGAGATATCTTAGAGCGGTGATGTCAGCGCATTCTCTGTGGAGCCAAGGGCATCTACAAAGGTCTGCCTGTGGTGGCCATGAGGGAAGCCGGGGGATGAGACGGAAAGGGGGAAGAAGGCGGGTTTCTATCCTTCTGTCAGAGCTGTCCTTTCTTATCTACTTTGTAGACTAAACTTCTCTATAAAATTTTATAGGTGGAAATGGAGCTTCAGCCAAAAGAAAGAAAAGAAGGAAGGAAAGAAGGGAAACAGGAAGCAAAGAAGGAAGGAAGAAAAGTAAGAAGAAACCACTGACACAAAGGACTGGTGGAATTAAAGCTATGAGGGCAGGGGTTATTGTAAATGAGGTGATCTGGGAGGTGGGTGTGAGGACTGAGGGGCACTCGAGAGTGATGCCCCCCGTACAGGGGTCAACTAGTGCTCAGCTCTGCCAGTTATGAGGATGTGAGATTGTGGGCCTAAGATCCTCTGATTTTTAGAGAAGCCAGAAATTTAGATTTTTATATGTGCAATCTGATTTTAAATATGGGCAAGTCATTCAAAAATTTTTTAGGTGCCAAATACTTGTGGGGTAAATTTAGCCTTTGAGTTGTCGCTTTACAGTCTCTGGCTTACACCAGCAGGACAGGCAGTCCACTTAGTTTCTAGGTAGTCAAGAAGCTAGATCTATCCACATCAATCCAGACCACCAGCTCTGAGGGTGGAGACGACGCTGGTGGCACCTGACATGCCTGCCTTTCTACCTCTACTGTGGCATCAGGTCCTCAGCTGGCACCAACAGCTGTTCTATAAACAGCCACATAACATTATCTGTCCAGGATTCTTGTTGTACAGATGACACTGAGAATGCTGCTATCACTATGTCACAGAGGGAAAAACTGTATTTCTCAGGGAACTTTTTTTTTCTTCTTAAACCCACAGAATGCCATCAATCTGATAACTGATAGTATTTCCCAACAGATCCTGGCTGTTGGAAAGTGCAGGCCCCCAGTTGGGGCCACTGTTGCAACTGAACAGTGCTTTATGGACGTGAGTTTGAGCACCATTTCTAGCTGGCTTCACCTAATTTTCTGTTCTTTACTTTTTCCTTGCTTCTATTTTCACAACCTGTTTTTCATTTGTTGAACGTATTTCTATATATCACCTATATTTGAGGATAGACCTAACATGGGTTTACTAGTTTCCTTCACATATCGTTATTCTATTTTGAGAAATATTGACCAGTAAAAACATATGAGTTTGCAAAATAGTGAATCATGCTCTACAAGTTCTGTTGCCTCAAGTTTTTACTTACACATAAGCTTTCTCCAGGGCAAGGTTAACCAGGAAGACAATTTAAAGTAAGTCATGGCTCTCAGTAGAACAGATGTTCTTACAAAAGTTAGAATTCTTAAATGTTAGTCTTTATGAATAGGGCTTGTTGTGCCTACTCAGAAATCACCTTCTGCAAATCACCTAACCTTGAAATGGATCATAGTATTACTGGGGACACAAAAAAATATTGCAAATTGGTAAATGAAGTGTGACAACATAGTACTTTTATGTCCTCAGTAAGGAATTTATGTACAACAAAAGCTCAAATCAATTTGATAGCTTTATTTTAAGAGTCCACCTCCAGGCCAAACTCTTTGCCCTTAGCATCTGAAGCTGAAATGAGGTAGTTTTTAAAGCACTGAAAAGTCAATGTGAATTCCCATGATTTTAGGACTGGTAATACAGCTTCCCGGAAGCAGTTGGAATCTTCAAGATCAATTATGTTTAGAGCAGAAAAAATGGAAAGTTTCACTGGGAGATTATATGCTACAAGTTAATGTATGTGCACAATGTGATACAATTTAATGTGTGTCTCCGCTTCAGTGGAGAAAGGAGGGTTTGGACTATTAAAGTTTAACAACTACTTTACTTTTTTTTCTTTTTTTTTTTTGAGACGGAGTCTCGCTCTGTCGCCCGGGCTGGAGTGCAGTGGCCGGATCTCAGCTCACTGCAAGCTCCGCCTCCCAGGTTCACGCCATTCTCCTGCCTCAGCCTCCCGAGTAGCCGAGACTACAGGCGCCCGCCACCGCGTCCGGCTAGTTTTTTGTATTTTTTAGTAGAGACGGGGTTTCACCATGTTAGCCAGGATGGTCTCGATCTCCTGACCTCGTGATCCGCCCGTCTCGGCCTCCCAAAGTGCAGGGATTACAGGCTTGAGCCACCGCGCCCAGCCAACAACTACTTTTCTAAATTTGTGATTACATTAGTTCATTTAGAAAAAACAGATGTAAATAACTATTGAGTGTCTAGATTTGCACCTTAGTCTATTTGACCAAGTTCCTCTTTCTTCATGACTTGGATTTTCCTTTGTTTTGTCTCTTGTCAAAGCCTGGCCCAGAGCCAGGCTCTCAGAGAGCGCTGGTCCTAGCAAATCCCGTCTGACTCTCATGGCTCTTCTCTGAAAGCTGAATGTTACCACTGACCAGTGGAAGCCTTTTTGTTTATTCTACAAAAACTACAGTAAATGAAAAAGTACGTGAAAGCACTTAGTAAAGCACTGACAAATTATCTTTAAAACATAATCTTTTTTTTTTTTTTTTTTGAGAGGGAGGCTCGCTCTGTCGCCCAGGCTGGAGTGAGTGGTGCCATCTCAGCTCACTGCAAGCTCCGCCTCCCGGGTTCACGCCATTCTCCTGCCTCAGCCTCCCGAGTAGCTGGGACTACAGGCGCCGCCACCGTGCCCAGCAATTTTTTTTTGTATTTTTAGTAGAGATGGGGTTTCACTGTGTTAGCCAGGATGGTCTCGATCTCCTGACCTCATGATCCGCCTGCTTTGGTCTCCCAAAGCGCTGGGATTACAGGCGTGAGCCACCGCGCCCGGCCTAAAACATAATCTTTACCTTTAAATTTTTGTTCCATTTGGAATTTATCTTGTTATAAGCAGTGAGATATGAATCCAACTTTGCTTTTCCAGATGGCTACTCAGTTGTTCAACACCATTTATTAAACAATCCATCTTTCCCTACTGATTTCTGATTTGTCACCTTAGGCATGTGCTACATTTTCATATGCATTTGGGTCTGTTCCTGAACTTTCAATTCTATTCCACTCGTCTGATCTGTCATGCATGTGCCAGTTCCATACTGTTAATTATTGAGACTTCAGAGAGTGTGTGTGTATATATATATATGTATATATAATTTGTAATCTCTAGTGATATAATCCTCTCATTAGTATTATTTTTCAGAATTTCTTTGCCTATTTTTAGTTGTATATTATCCCATAAGAATTCAGAACTCGTTTAACCAGTTAAAAAACAAAAACAACTCTATTGGAGTTTAACTAGGAATGTGTGAAATCTGTAGGCTATCCTAAGTAAAACCGACATGCTTACAATATTGAGTTTTCCTATTCAAGAATATGGTATACATTTTTGTTTGTTCAAGTTTTCTGCATCCCTTAGATGATACTGTCTGTACATAAGTGTTGATAAGTGTATTCCGTGGTATTCTATCTTTTCTTTTCTTTCTTTCTTTTCTTTTCTTCTTCTTTTTTAAATTTATAATGGAGATGGGGTCTTATTATGTTGCCCAGGCTGGTCTCAAACTCCAGGGCTCAAGGAGTCCTCCCACCTCAGCCTCCCAAAGTGACAGGATTTATAGGCATGAGCTGCTGTGCCTGGCTTCTGTCTTTCCTTGTTACTATTTTAAGTCAGATCTTTTCTTCTTGTTGTTTGGGGTATGATCTCCTTGCTTTACCCGTGCTCTCTATAATGTGTGCTCTCCACACAGCAGCCAAAGGGAACCTTTAAAATGATGATTCAGATCAAGTAACTCCTCAAAATCCTACAATGGCATCCTATCTTTGGGGTCTTTTGTGCTTACTCTCCCCTCTACCTGGAATGCTTTTCTTCCGATAGCTGCTGGGCTTTCTTCTTCACTTTGTTCAAGTCTCTGATCAAATTGTCATCTCCTTAGAGAAGCTTTCTGTGACCACCCTTTTAAAAGTAGTCCTGATCCACTTATATCCCTTTGCCATGCTTTATTTTTTCCTTACATATCAGTGTACCTGATGTTATGATGTATCTTCACTTGTTTATTATCTGCCTCCCCCACTGAAATATAAATTCCATGAGGGCAGGGACTCTGTTTTGTTTATTGCTACATCTCCAGCACATAGAACATAATAGTTTGGCATATATTAGTTATTCAGAAAACATTTATGATACGGAATAAGTGAACCTTCCAACCTAATGAGCTCCAGGGCTCGGATGGCTGAGCTGCAGACGATCAGCATCAGGACCGATTTCTTCTCACTGTGGTTTTTCCTAAGTTTTACCCACTTAGGACAAACTGGAAAAAATATCACAAAACAATTATTTGAAATATGGCAAAACAGGGCCCACCTCCCAAGTTGAATATTTCTTCTTTGTTGAGTGTTTAAGCAAAATAAAATATAGTGAGCATGGTTCATTATAATTACAATTATAATTCAATTTTCTGGTTATTGTAAATATTAGATTAAAATGGAGTATCATTAATTTATAACACAAAACAAACATGCCAAGTCCCTAAATATGACTAATTTTAAAATTAAGTAAAAAAATTTGGAATATTACATTTTTGAAATTTTAATTTATGTTTGATACTTCACAATGTTGATTAAATAGGAAATGAATTCTGATTCAGTCATGTTAAATTTTAAAGGGAAATTCAACATAAGATATAAAATGGAACAAACATTTAAAAACAGCAAATATTTACTAAATACTGACACAGTGCTAAGCTCTTTACATAGATTTTCTTTTTAGTTCTCATAATCTAGTGAAGTTGATTCTATTATTACCTAGATTTACATTTTCTGAATTTGATGCTAAGAAAGGTTTATGAACTCTAGTGTCATCAGAATTGCTTGTAGTTTGAAAGAAGAATGGAAACTCTCTATAACTAAACTGTTTCATTGCTGGCCATAAATAAATGACCAGTTGATACGAATAATTTAATTACTGCTGGCTACATATAATACATATTGAAGGGCCAGACACAGTAGCTCACGCCTGTAATCTCAGCACTTTGAGAGGCAGAGGGGGGAGGATCTCTTGAGCCCAGGAGTTTGAGACCAGCCTGGGCAACATAGGAGGACTCTGTCTCTACCAAAAATAATCAAAAACAAACAAACAAACAAAAAAAATTAGCTACTTGTGGTGACATACAACTGTAGTCCCAGCTATTTGGGAGGCTGAGACAGGAGGATCGTCAGAACCCAGGAGGTTGAGGCTCCACTGAGCTATGACCAGACCACTGTACTCCAGCCTGGGAGATAGAGTGAGACCCTGTCCTTCTCCAGTCTCCCAAAAAATACATTTTGAAAAGATAGAATTAGATTGGCTTCACAATAGCCATGGTCTGAGTTCTAAACATGCAAATAGAATTTCAGAATCTCACAGATGGAACACATATCACATAGTCCATCTTCCCTATTTTTCAGATAACAAATTAAGTCCAGGGGAGTACTCAGTGACTCGTCTCAGGTCAAACAGCAAATTGGTGGGGGACCTGGGACTAGAACACCATTCTCTGGATTCCTGGAGCAACAATGGCCTAATGTGTTATAAAACAAAAACGAGACCAAAACCTAAATTTCCAAAGCCAGAGCAAAATAAGGATAAATTTAAATAGATTAAAATCAGAGTTTACTTACTTTCTTTTAGGTATGAGGAAAGACTGTGAGTCAAATCATTGGCCTTGAGGAAACAGGAGTCTAGAAATATGATAAACATGCTATACAGAGAATTTTGTAAATGCACACACACAATCAAAATAGATTATATGTGAGTTATGAGTGATGTATAAGGTTGTAAAATATTAGTGAATTGGGGCCCATTATATATCTTAAAGTGTTGCCTATATTTAAAATAACAGCAGTAGCAACAAGTAAACTTTTAACCTGTCACGGAGCTGCCCGTAATTTCTTAGAGCAGTGAAATAGGAGCTTCTTATATCACTCAGCAGATTAATGAAGCACCTTTATTTTCCAAATCCATAAAATGGGGACTACACAAATGCAAAATGAAGTGGCTAACAAATCTATGTAAAGATGTTCAAACTCACTAGTTATCAGAGAAGTGCATGTTAATATAATGAGATCATACTTTACACACTCATTAGAATGGCAACTATTAGCAAGATGTATAATACCAAGTGTTGTTGAGAATGCAAAGTGATGGAAACTCTTGTGAACTGTAAGTGGAAGTGTAAACTGGTATAGATATTCTGGAAAGTAATAATATTAATATGTATATACCCTATAATTCTACCACTTCAACTCAAGGTAAATAATAGAAAGAAATTCTTACGTGGTCTATTAAGGTACACACACAAGGATATGCATCTTGGCATTATTTGTGATACCAGGGTGCTTGAGGCAACCTAAGTGTCCATACCTGGGAAAATGGATGAGTATATGTGATAGATGGAAACGCTGGAATATTATGTTGCATTTAGAAGCAATGAACTAGACATGCATAAAACTACAGAGTCCTATCTGGAAAAAGTGTCAAGTGAAGAAAGAAACAGAATGAAAGCATTAGCACAGAGCCATTTTAGATACACTTTAATATGTATATACATACACAGGATGACATATTTTATAAGAATATATATATATATTTTAAAATGCCTATCATATGAAAATAGAGTTTGGATTAGGGAAGAATGGTAATAATGTCTCAAAATACACCACAACATAACAATACAATAAAAAACAATATAACACATTAAAATAAAACAGGGGCTGGACTGACCAAAATGAATTTTATGTTGTGACCCAGCACATATAACTCATTAAGTGAGTAATTCAAAGCTGTTTTCTCCTGTATTGTTGTGGAGCCTTTGGTGGTCTTTATAATGTCCCAAATCTGGATATGATCAGATTCACCTGGAGAACTGAAGGTACAGATTCCTGGGATAGAGTCTCTTTTGCATAGTGAATTAGAATCTCTTGAGGATGGGCCCGGGGATCTGATGTTTAAGGAGTTCCTGAGTGATTCAGTTGCAGCTAGCCTATAGGCATTTAGGAATCACTAATCTAAACCACACTGCAGCTCTCAGGAGACAGCAGAGAGGTTAATTAGCTCCGGGTGACTCCAGCCTTGAAATCCTAATTCAGTGCCCGTGTGTGTGACATTAACAATGTATAGTGCACAATATTAATTGAAAAGACATGTTCGTGCCCTACAGACACAAACAACCTCAAATCAAAACCAAGTTAGAAGCTCGACAAACTAAATAGGAACAATATGTTATTATTTATATCTACTTTATATGTGTATATATAAGGGGATTTATGTCCCTCCTTGAGCCTATTCCAAATAACCCACTGTATCTCCTTCCCCACAGCTAGCTTAAATCTCCTCTCTGTTCTTGGTCTCATCAGTGTAGTGACCAGTGCCTGTTCTCCCAAACCTTCCTCTGATGTCTCAGTTTATTGTGTCTTAAATGGCCTAATTTTTTAGACTAAAAATAAAAATCTGTCCTTTTTGGTTATAACATTATTTCAAACATACTTTCTTTCCTTCCCAACCAACCCATGACCACACATTCTTGCCTAACTATATTACTGAACTCTAATAAAACACTAATATCAAACAAATTCACTATGGAACTTAAATGACTCCTTAAAAGTTTCTTCTGAGCTTTGACTCCCTATAACTCTAGAGAGGAGCAAGGTTTATGATGTTCCATGAGGTTACAGAACAGCAGTGGTCCCACTGCTCACAAATCCTTCGTAAGTTCAGTTGCTCTAACAAAGAACTAGAACGGAAAACTGACCATTGAGTCACAGTAAAAATCAAACTTCAGTTAAAGCTTCAAAAGTGGTGTTGTTGGAATAGTTCCTGTGATAGTGCAGTCAGGACACAGTGTTCACAGCAGAGGCAGTGCTGTGCTGAGAGGAGTGGATTCTAACTGCTGTTGGAACTGTCTGGGCTTAGTAAGTCTAAAAGTCCAGATCCTGCTCATGTGCAAATGCACTCCTTCAATTCCCTAAAGGGTAATCTCCTTGGAAAACAAACAGACAGGGCACTCATGTCTCCAAACCCAATGTGTGTTTTTAAAAAAGGATATCACAAAAGAATTATAAAAATTCAGGGAACAGATTGTTTTTCAGCTTCTCAAGCTTCTAGAAAGCATAAAATTGTAATGGAAAAAGGAAATCAAGCCACCCTCTACTTTTTCCAAAAGCAATATTAGATATCCCTAGTAGTCTATAAATAGCTCATCTGAAGCAGTTGTACCCAAACTTTTTATGGTTTGATTTTATGACAACATCTATTTCTCCCGTGCCTGCCTAAAAGAGTTAAAGGATGCATCATAATTTTGAAATTAATTAAAAGTAGTTGTTTACGCTGGGTGTGGTGGCACATGGCTATATTCCCAGCTATTCAGCAGGCTGAGGTGAGAGGATCCACTTAAGCCCAGGAGTTCGAGGCTGCAGTGAACTACGAGGGTGCCACTGCACTCCAACCTGGACGAGACAACAAGACACTGTCTCTAAAATAAATAAATATTTTTAAAAAATTAACTGTTTACATTTTGCAGTATCTTTTAGCTTAATTATAAATACACCAAGGCAGAGGACCTAAAACTCTAGTAGGCTTCAGAATCCCTTCAGGCAAAGTGTCAGCCTTGCAAAACATGCAGAATTTTGTTCCTACCTTTTGATAGTTTGCTTGAAAGAGTCTGGCCTGCAACCCAAAATACTATTCTAAAAACCATGACTAGAAATCCATGATAAGAGCAACAACAAAACTAAATTACTTATTAAGGCTAAAGCTCTTGTCTATAAGAGTTGAGTAAATCAGTGTTTCACAACTATACTTTTAAATGTGTACTTTAACTTCTATCCTCATGACGAATTCCTACTCGTTGAATAGTCTGTTAAAAAAAATGCACACCCAACAATTAGCCTTTTGAAAAAAAAAATACGATCACAAATCTTAGTATTAGATTTGACAAATACTGTTTAGCATCCAGTAAGGATATAATCTATTAGCTAAAACTATTTGATATAATCTATCAGTTAAAACTATTAGATTGAGGAAATAAGTATTATGTTTCTTTTTTTTTTTTTTTTTTTTTTTTTGAGCTGGAGTCTCCCTCTGTTCCCCAGGCTGGAGTGCAATGGTGCGATCTTGGCTCACTGTAACCTTGGCCTCCCGGGTTCAAGTGATTCTTCTGCCTCAGCCTCCCAAGTAGGTGGGATTACAGGTGTGTGCTACCACGCCCAGCTAATTTTTGTATTTTAAGTAGAGATGGGTTTTACTACGTTGGCCAGGCTGGTCTCGAACTCTTGACCTCAAGTGATCCACCCGCCTCAGCCTCCCAGAGTGCTCAGATTATAGGCGTGAGCCACTATGCCCGGCCTGAAAATATGTCTCTTTAAACAATTATTATTATTATTATTTTTAATAGTGATGAGTTCTCACTATATTGCCCAGGCTGGTTTCAAACACCCAGGCTCAAGCGATCCTCTAGCCTCTGCCTCCCAAAGTGCTGGGATTACAGGCATGAGCCACCACACCCGCTGGAAAATATGTTAATTGACTGCCTGAGACACCTAACCATAATAGACAGTTATGTTTTGCTCCTTGTCATTAGGAAAATTGAAGCTTGGCTATACCTGGCAGGTTCAGTTCTTCTAATTCAATCACCGAGCGTCTGCTGCTATAATAGTCCTTCATCAGCTTCTGTAGGTCTTCAGGTAACCCTGGTTTTGGTTCTGATTTTGCAAGAACATCAGTAATTTTCTTCTAAGATATGAGAAGGAAGAAAAATGGGAGGACATACTTTAAAATGGCATTTGGTTGGAATAGGTTAATTCCTCTGGCATTTAAACTGTACATAGCTTTTGGTGTTAGCCAAGTGTGAATGTGGGTTTTAATAAATACATTTGAGAAAATTCACTAAATACTTCTTGGATATAACTATTGCTTTGAAAAATGAAAAAAATGATCTAGAAAGTTGCCTGCAACTCTTGGTCTATGACTTCCAGGAGAACTACGTTTTTGCAGGCGTCTCCATACTAGGGTATTATTTTCTGTTAAAAGTAAAGAAATCTCATTGCTATGGAAAGCTCTCTTTTAGCCCTAGATGATTTATATTCCTGTAGGATTAGAATTTTAAGAATTTCTTGCCTAACCTGCTTTGTGAGGTGCTGAGTCTTAGTTTGGATTTCTGGCATTAGTGTAAAACCTACAGTAGGAATCTGAGCATAGGAGCCTACCGAGGAGGGGACTTAACACCCTTGATTCTCAGGTCTTGGATAGCTGACAGTATTAAAGTGGCCCTATGGAAAGTGGAGAAAAATATTACAGGAAATACTTTCCAACATCGATTTTGATTTGGATTCATTTGTGTAGCATGTATTGAATGCCTGCAGTGTAGTAGAAACCCATAATCATTCATTTATTTCCATCATAAGCTTCCCTTCTCACTTTCTTCTAATGTTCCATCAAAGATCCAGAAGGAGTGTTCCCCACCCCTGATCCCAACTTTTTCCCCTCCTTCTACAATATCCTCATTTCTATACACTTGCCAAGACTGGTCAAGGCTCTGTCAAAGGAATTAACTTTTAAAAATATGTCATCAGTGGGCACATTTTAGCGTGACCTCAGTCTAGGATAAACTATCTAGCTAGAGTTTTGACCTTGAGCCACCAAGAACTTAACACTCCTGAAGGCCATTAGTGTACAAATTATCAAAGAGAAGTTAAAGTCACTTCTTTAAGGACTTGCCAAACCTCAGCCAATTTGGCATCTCCCATCTTGCTATTTGACCATTTGTAAGAAAAGAAAACATATGCACACACACTCTTAGTTTTCTAAAAGCTTGCTGTTAAGTAATTGGTTTGAGTCCATCTTCTTTCCTCTAATCCCAATCGTATTTCCTCAGCTGACTTCACGAGTAGACCCCTCTTGGCAGGGAGAGAATTACACCGCTGTTTTCACAACTGTGGGAGAAGGTCATAGCTAACCATACTTTCTCCAAGGCTGAGGCATCAAAAAGTTTGTATAGGAGAAAGAGTCTTTCCTATGCTCACTGGCAAATATCAAAATGTAAGACGAGGGGAGCTTTTTTGACTTAATTTATGGTTCCAAATTAGTCAGAAGTGCCTCATACTACCTTCATCTGCTTATTATTTTCTTTTTACTCATACTTTAAGGTATAAGGTCTTAAAATCTGGAATGAGTAGAAAAAGGAGGTTGGTATTTTTTTTTTCATGGACAGAGCCAGAAGGGCTGGGGGAGGATAGCTCTGGACTCCTTCTAGAATTAGAAACCTATGTCTGACATCTGACCACACTGAAAACACAGGGTGGGTAACAAAGATATTTGGCACTCCACAAGACCGAAATAGGAGTCAGAAGAATTTATTCTTAGCTCCAACAGAAACACTTATTAGTAGTGACCTTCGGAAAGTCACCAAACCTCAAGGAATCTTACAATGTCTGCATCTCTTAGGTGGGGATTACAATAGTTGCCTCATGGAAGTATGACATATAAAAATGTGATGGAAACCATGTGGGGCCATACAAATTTAAGAAATTATTAATATTACCTTTCTCCTCTTCCTGGTCTTGGTGGTATTCTCTTTTCTTTCCTTTGGTTGTATCAAAAAACATTCTTTAGGCTATTAAGAAATACAAATGAGAACATTTTAATCTTTTCATGATAAAGTGTCAATTAGCGGTATGAACCCCAAAGTACTTTCTATGCATGTATTCTTCAGAGTATCTTGGTAATAGTCTACAGAAAGAGAGATGCTAGAAGATCTACTGTAGGTTACTATGCAGCGGCTGGGGTGAGAGAGTTTGAGAAAGTCAGAAAGCGCAGATGACTTAAGACTGGAAAATCTTTGAACAAAGATATATGTGTGAGTGAGTATATATGTGTGCTTGGTGTGGAAGTGCAGGGTATTGGAGATTGAAGACAGTGACTGAGCTTGTATAATACAGCAGAAATCGATGTGATTAAAATTAAGATGTGGTAAGACAGTTTTGACTAGAGTGACTAGGGTTTTCCATGAACTAGCTGTGTGTGAGCCTACATTTCCAAGTTACTGGTTTATTGTTTCGTATTATTCATTCCTTTCCTCTTTTCAATAAGCATAGAAAATCCAAAGTAGGATATATTAACTTACGTTTTTATAAACCAGCTGCATCAAATGCCTTTACTATAATGACTACAAAATGAATGTCTTTGTTACTAGTCTGATAACAGTCTCAGCACCACAGTATCTAGAGTAATCTGTTCTGCCTGTTGCCTTGACCCCTAAGTACCCGATACAGTTTAGTGCTATTTTTACCCTGAGGGTTTTTTTCTAATGTAGAAAAACAGGAAATTTGGACTAAGACCTTGATTTATAAAATGGAATGCCCCAGATTCCATATTTATTAATCATAAGCAGGAGTATAAAATGTTTCCTGTGCTGGATCTTTTATGCAACATTGTCAAACAAGTTGCCAAGTAAGATATAAAATGTAAGTGAAAACTTATTCTGAGTTTTCCTTGATTAACTTTCCATTCCAACCACAGAATATGCAGTTTAAACTGATAAGCTACTAACTAAAGCAATCCTGTCTCCACTGGCTCTGTTAAAATGATTACAGATGAATCTTTCTATGAAAGCTTGCAGACAGCCTGCAGATTGAGAATGTCTATGGCCTGAAGTCAGAGAGAAAGATATAATACTACATAATTTCTTCAAGACATGGGGCCAAAGACTAGCAGTTTCAAGATTCTCTTTTAGTTATTACAGAAATAGATTTAAAAAGTTCAGGATTAAAGTGACATGGGAAATCTTGAAATTTTAGTTTCCTGTCAGATAAAACAAAAAAACCTGCAAAGAGCAATTGCATCATAGCTAAAGAAAAGAGAGATATGGCTTCTTTTATTTAGAAAGTTAAACTGTCTTGTGGATGTTGATACATGCCAATTTGATGCTGGTACATGCCAATTAGAAACTGTGCCAAGGCCACTAATATGTCACAGAAGCTGCCAGATGGCCATAAGAGTACAATTACAAACCAGGCCAGTGCTCAGCTCATGTTCCTAGGGCAAAGGCCGGGATATGATTAGCAGATCCCTTAAACTATACTGTATTATCTCCACCAGTATCAAGGTTTTTGGGAAGCGTATTTAGAAACCTGTTTCATCTTCTTGTTTAGCGTATGGAGGTGTTCTCGAGGAACCCAGTTTAGTGTACTGGTTGTATTTGTGCCAAGTTTACAAAGCCAATGAACTAAAACATGACATAAATCTAGAAATAAGCTCAATTTTAAGAATATAGACTCTTTAATTCTGGGAGAAAAAACAAAAATGTAATTCTGAATCATGCAAAGGAAAAAGAAACATGCTCGATGAACTGCTTTAGCCATGATATTGCTTCAGGTAAATGACAGGTTCAAATTCTTACATCATCCTAAAGGAAATGCAAAATAATCTTTGGTTTTGGAGACTAGTTACTTTAGCTGGCTGTGGTAGGGTGCCAGTAAAGAGGCCAGTTTTATAGGGTCAATTTCCATAGAGGTAAGATGACTTTATGGAGAAATTCAAATCCAAAGTATTGAAAATTCTTACATTTAGTTAACTGCCTTATGAATGCTGCTGTTTACCCTCAGGGAGGCTGGGTAGGAAGAATCCAGCCAAGTCACTAAGCGCATCTGGAAATCAATTCCAAAACTGTGTGACTTTGACAGTTGATAAGCAATGTCATTTCTTTATATGAAATGTAGCAATTTTAAATACATAGTCTGAAGAATCACACTCCCCTAAAAAAAAATGTGGCTTTTAAGGGAAGCAACTAGAGCATATTTTCAATTCCTTAAAGTATCAAAAATTACTTTAAGAATGATTCTCCTGGTTAAACATGGCAAATGAACCTCAAAATGCCAGTAAACTGAAAATAAAGGGCACTGAAAAGGACCTGTTGAGCAGGATCTATATAAAACCCAAGAAACCAGGAGAAATAACAACAGTAATGGAGAGATTTCAACAACTTTTTGGAAAATGGAAAGTGGCTGGAGCTGGAGAAAAGTGACTTGGCACAGAGAGAAAGCTAGCATCTGGTTTCAGAAGGGGTAGAAGCTAACAATAAGTGAGTCTTTGACTCGCTGAACTCTGAGAAGGTCCAGTATTTGGAGGCACAAAGTACTACAGAGAGTGAAGGGTTAAAAAGAAAGAGATTGGCTGAAAGTTTATATTTAGAATGATTAGCTACCCTCGTCCCCTACTAGGTGGTATCTCCTACCCTGGTAGCCAAGAACTATCCCATTACTGCTTCCTTTCACCTTGCCTGTCCTGCCAGCCAACTGGAGATCTATTCTCTTAAGAGATCAAGAGGATCAAGGCTGGGCCAGGGGAGAAAGGGCAGAGGCAGAGGCTTGTCTCCATTTCCTGCCCCTATTCCATGCTTATATAGTGCAGGCAGGAGACTACTGAATGCCTCTTCGGAAAAATGTAATGACCTAAAAGAAATACCATCAGAGAGTGACATTTGGGAGTTCCATAGTAAAAAATCCAGCTTGTTATCCTATCACCCTACCATGAATACACTAATTGACAAACCCCACTCATCAATGTTTCAGTGTATCTCTCTTCAATAAGAATGGATAGCTAAGATTCATCAGTCATCTAAGGAAAGTATCCAACACAAGAGCAAATAAATAACAAAAGGAAAAATGAACCTAGAGAAAAGTGGGATGGTACCTCAAAATAATGATAATTAATATCCTCAGAGAGATAAGGGAAGATTTTGCAACCATGAAACAAGAACAAGATGCTGTAAAAATGGGAAAAACAGTTAAGCATTAAAACAAATAAGAAAGGTGGGATAAAAATATACGAGGAGCCGGGCGTGGTGGCTCAAGCCTGTAATCCCAGCACTTGGGGAGGCCGAGACGGGTGGATCACGAGGTCAGGAGATCGAGACCATCCTGGCTAACATGGTGAAACCCCGTCTCTACTAAAAAATACAAAAAAAAACTAGCCGGGCGAGGTGGCGGGCGCCTGTAGTTCCAGCTACTCGGGAGGCTGAGGCAGGAGAATGGCGTGAACCTGGGAGGCGGAGCTTGCAGTGAGCTGAGATCATGCCACTGCACTCCAACCTGGGCAACAAAGCAAGACTCCGTCTCAAAAATAGCTGGGCAAAGGTGGCGGGCGCCTGGGCAGTTCCAGGGAGCTACTCGCGGAGGGTGGCTGGAGGCAGGAGAATGGCGCGAACTCTGAGTGGAGCTTGCAGCAGTGAGCTGAGATCATGCCACTTGCACTCCGCAATGTGCCAAGACTCCGCTCCTGGGTATATATATATATATATATATATATATATATATATATATATATGAGGAAGGCATGAAGATAAAGTAGAGGCAATCTCCCAGAAAGAGATGAAAAATGAAAAGAAAAAAGTGGTGAGAAAATCAGAGAACCACCCCAAGAGATTCAATTTTCCAATAAATGGTATTATAGAACAAGAGGTGACATAAAACAGTAGGGGGCTTGGTATGGTGTCTCATGCCTGTAAATCTAGTGCTTTGTGGGGCCAAGGTGGGAGGACTGCTTGAGGCCAGGAGTTTGAGACCAGCCCTGGTTACATAGTGAGACCGTCTCACCAAAAAAACAAAAAACAAAGAAACAAAAAGGCTGGGCATGGTGGCTCGCGCCTGTAATCCCAGCACTTTGGGAGGCTGAGGAGAGCAGATCACGAGGTCAGGAGTACAAGACCAGCCTGACCAACATGGTGAAACCCCGTCTCTACTAAAAATACAAAAATTAGCTCGGCATGGTGGTGCACACCTGCAATCCCAGCTACTTAGGGGGCTGAGGCAGGAGAATCGCTTGAACCCGGGAAGCAGAGGTTGCAGTGAGCCGAGATTGCGTTGCTGCACTCCAGCCTGGGTGACAGAGTGGGACTCCGCCTCACACACACAAAAAATTAGCTTGTGTGGTGGTGCATGCCTGTGCTCCTAGCTACGTGGAAGACTGAGGCAGGAGGACCTCTTGAGCCCAGGAATTCAATGTTGCAGTGAGCTATGATTGCACCACTGCACTCCAGCATGAGTGACTAAGTAAGACCCTTGTCTCTAAAAAGGAGTCATCAAGGAAATAACACATGACAAAATAAAATTAAAAAAAAAAAAAGAAATAATATGTGACAAACTTGTGCTGCCTGAAGGAAACTTTGAACATGAAACTCCAAATTGAAAGCCCATTAGGTATAGGGTACAATGAATATGAAAAATACCCATTCCAAGGAGCATCACTATAAAATTTCAGAAAATTATAGGCAAAGAAGATTCTAAAATATTCCCCTCCAAAATATAACATACAAAATACAAAGGATCAGAAAAAAGAATAGTGCCAAGATCTCTAAAAAGCAATAATGGATATTAGAACTTAATGGAATGATGCTTTCAAAATTATGAAGAAAGTTTATTTGCAAATTAAACTTTTATACCCAGCCAAAGTATCAATCAAGTGTAAGAGTAGAATAAAGACATATTCAGATATATGAAGTCTCAAAAAATTTACTTCCTACCTGCAGATACTGAAGGCTGTATTTCAGAATACAAAGGGTGAAACCAAAGAAAAGGAAGCTATGGGATTTAGCTAAAAAGGAGTCCAGCCCAGGAG